AAAGAAGGTTGCCAATATTAAAAATCCTCACTACAATGAACAAGGTGGAAATAGAAATGATAGAAATGAAGCAAAAAGAAAAACTACCTCGTCGACAATCGTAGAAGATGGCGCGCCCTCGACCAAGCTTGCAACCAGCGACTCATCCATTCGTAAGGACTTCCCCTTGTCCGAGCGAGACGACGTTGCCACAACGGGCGGACTCATAGGAGTATATGCAAAATTCAAGAGCAACAAATCAGAAACCAATAGCACGAGCAAAGGTAAGACATCAAAAACTGAATTACCTTCTGCTTCAATGATTGGGGGGTTGACACCCTGGGAAGAAGGTGGCTCATCCATGGGTTGTGATGAAGACTCTGGGACCGAAGATGTATCTTTAAGCATGGTCCCATCACCAACCGGTTTGGATGAAGTAGCCTCAACAGAGGATGATGGAGCAGGAGTTGTCGATGCTAAAGCCTTTGAAGGGGAGGCTGAACTTTTCTGAAAAGTCCAAAAGATCATCAGTACACAGAACAGTATCAAATGTGGAAAAGCATACTTGTAAATAGACCGATTTAATTACCTTCCTCCTGACGATAAGAGGGGCATCATCATCATCATCATCAACATCATCCTCTAGAATGGGAGATGCTGAGGCTGGCCGTTTGCGGCTTGAAACACTCTTGGCCGTAGTAGGCCTGGCGGGGAGAGAAGAAGATGGACGAGCAGGTTGTTTAGTACGACGAGAAGGAGAGGGGCTTCGAATAGACAAAGGAGTGACCAAAACAGGAGGAGGAGAAGAAATACTCGGTTGGTCTAATGAATGAAAGGCACGATTGGCCTCAGTCGCAAATAATCTGCGCTTCACTGATGGTCAAAGTTGTTCAAAAAGAGGGTGAGTAGCATGACAAGAATTAAAAGGGGCTAATGAAAAGTGGCTTGATAAATGGAGGTTGCGAACGTTTATAGCCTCTGCTTCCGCCTTATTAATGGTATGAAAACGGTCAATTAAGCTCTTCGAATAGCAAAGAGGAACAGGCCAAGTTTGGCCAAAACCAAGCTGACGGGCAAAAAATTGGGGAGCATAAATTTCTACCCCCACTTTGACATTGGTCCCAGTTAAGATATCATGGAAAAGCTCCCTCCCAGTTAAAAACTGGATCCAAATGAGCAGAGAGGTGCTCGCGCTATCTATAGTGGAAGGGGGATGTACATAGTTTGGAGTCAAAAAAGGAGGAAAAAGAAAGAAAGAAGAAATTGAATCTAAAGAATAAAAGAATGAAAAAATGTCCCTTCTGGACATATTTACAGGAGTTAAGGGCTCCATAGCTAGCCCGTAACAGCTAGCAGAAGGACGAGAAATGGATGGAGCACCAAGCGATGGAAAATAGGATCTCAACCACAGTTGAGTGAACCAAAGAGGTTCACTGCCAGTGGGAGATGCACCACTCTTCAATTGAGCCTGAAGAAAAGCCATACCTCTATAAAGGGCAGCCAAAAACAAAGAACATAAATTCAAAGGCCTGCCACGTGCCAATTCGTGCGCTATAGGTAAATAACTCAGAGAAGGCTTTATACTTGGCACACACAAAACATATTTACAAAGCCAAACTAAAAGAAAGGTCACTCGCTCAGAATGGGTAGGCTCAGCGCTCGAATGATTATGGAGAGTCTGCACGCTTGAATAAGAATCGGTGTAATTTTTACCGAATTGTGGGGCACCACCAAAAACTAAGATACCTGGGAAAATGGTATCGCCCAAAGGTGGTAAATTCACCAGGGCCCCAACATCCCTTAACGTAATGGATATGGGGCCAAGAGGAAAAATAAAGGTGTTGTACTCAGAGGACCAAAAACTCAAGACAATTGGAAAGAGCGCTGAATCAAAAGTAGGGGGCGAATAGAGACTTCTAATAAGTCAGAAATCCTAGCGCTATCAAAAAGTGCCTTAGTAGGGTCATGACCCACAAGGCGAGCATGCCACCTACGAAAAGCTACATCAAATTTAGGCCAAGTGCGAATACCTCTTTCGCGAAGTGGCCCCAGCGGTAGAGAGTTTAGAAAAGGAGGGCCATGAGTGCAAGGAAACAGCTGACCCACCGCCGCCTGTTCAACTGCCTCCGCATTGTTGAAGAAAGGACCCAAGTAAAACTCATTACGTCCAACGTCGGCGGGCGCGAGAAAACTTGGGGTTATGTATGGGCGACTCAGAAGTTTCTGAAAGTCATCAAAACGAAAGGAATCACTAGCTTGAGATTGTAAAGCAGCTATTGGAGGATGAACGAAGCTTTTCGGGGTTACGTAACAAGGAAGCAAAAGATGAACAGTGAATCGTGAAAGAGATGCAAAAAATATGAGGCGTGGTTTGGTAGCAGTGAAATGGCGTGTTTGGGGTTTATAAGGGTTTGCAAAACGACGCACTTTTTCAAGTTATAGAAGGAAACAATGATTGCAATTCTTGAGAGTTTCGAACGTCGCCGGGAACATGAAGTGAACATGGCAAAATTCAATAATTATTATTAATTCTGCTATATTGGGGGGTAATTGTTGACACATAAAAATTCAGCCCAAATCGAACAGCCCAAGGAGTAAAGCCCAATTGGAGAATCCCCAAATCAGATGGCCCAAAGAACGAAGTCCAATCGAACGAGTCAAGGTGAAGGCCCAAACAAGGGGCCCAAGAATGCGGTAACGCCATCGCCCAAGTTTGCAAGTCGCCCAGAATCTGAACGAATGTAGTGTCATACGGTCGCCCAGAGCTGTTATTCTACTCTCGCCCAAACCTTCAAGTCGCCCAAGGTATCAACAAACATAACGCATCGTGGTTATCAAGGAATGCAGTTATCAAGGCAGTTGTTAAAGTAGCCTTATCACGTTCCACGACTCAAGGAATTCAATCGAAAGCGGTTGAACGATGAAAGATAATGGCAGCAGTTAAGAGGCAATTTCATGACAAAATGGCCACTACAAAGAAAGTGGGTAGTTATAGGACGATCAAGCAGTTTTCAGAGTAGTTAATCACAAAGAGATCGTCTATGAGGTATAAAAGGGAGAAAGGACGCAGAAGCAAAGGACCGAATCCAAAACTCTCGAACAGAGAATATGTAATTTTCATTTCCTTAGCTTTTAGATTTAAACATCTTTCTTTCTGTAACTCGTGTGCTTGCGCCCCTTGGAGGCACGTTGTTCTTCATTCCCAATTGTAAAGTTCATCGCCAATAAAAGAACACCCATTTTTGGGACTTTGTCTCAAGAGGTTTCGTCCCTTACACAATCGTCTGATCCCTTTTAATTGTTAGCGACTTAACCTGCGCGAAACACCTTCCATTCCTTAGATTGTGTACCAAACACGAGAGGATGTCTAGTGATTGACCATCTACGAATGGTAATTATTATGCTTCAAATCATGAAAGCTAGTAATAACAGCAATTTTAGACAATATTCTTATTCCCCACAAAAAATAAAAAAATATAAAATTATTCGACCGAAAATTGATAGGTGTCTCGATTGCTTATAGATTATACTCATATACTTGCATTATTGAGAGGCTTAATTATTAATATTAAAGGAACCCAATCTGATTCTGCCATTCTGGTAAACGCTGGAAGAGAGGCCTTTCATATTATTTTCATCGAAGGTTCCCTTTAAAAGAGACGGATTAAAATATTATTATTAACTTTGTTTTTTCTTTTTTTCACTTTTTATAAATATATATGCTGGGAATTTTATGAAAGGATGGCGCACAATACTTAAAAACAAATTCTTCCTCTCTATATTTCCTCAAATTGAGGTTCCCTTTCGATTTTCCTATTAATATCAAAGGAACCCTATTCTGATTCTGCCATTCTGGTAAAGGATGGAGGAGAGGCCATTCATATTATTTTATTCAAAGGTTCTCTTTCAAAGAGACAGATCAAAATATTTTTTTTTACCTTTACAACTCGTATATGCTGAGAATTTGGCACACGATACTTGAAACAAACTATTCCTAAAACCTTTTTTTTTTTTTTATGTCCAGGTATCCACCTTACAGTGACTAAATCCTGAAATCTACACCTTGACCCCTCAAACTGCAGATAGGTTAAACCACAAGTTGTGCCCCAAACTGACCAATGCTCAAGAGCCCCCCAACTGATCTGCCAAAGTGTCAAACAAGTTGTTTCCGATCTTTGCATCTTACCTTCCAATAGAGCTCCTGCCTTACAGAATAAATCCTGTCTTCTAGGAGAATATCTGCCTTCGAAGAGTTTTTCAAGAATCGAACTCACGACCTCTGATCTGCCAGCTTTGAAGCGCCCTCATCTTTGTCAGTTGGAATGTGCCTTGGAGGGCTATTCCTAAAACCTTAGAATGGATGGATGGTGGTGATTTTACACATTTTCAGGTGGAGAGATTTTTGTGAAGCACTCACACGAGAAGCGCAAGAGTATCAGCAATGCACACCAAAATTCCAACCAATTTTTTTTTATAAATCTAGCTCCAATCAAAATTATGCCATGTCAGTAGAAACTAATATTTGGATTTTAATCTTAATCTAAGTCAAAATCAATAACTAATTTTAGCCACACATTTTATAGGATCCACAATTTTTCAACCACACATTTCATCAACTTGTATCAAAATCTACTTAAAATTTGATTTTAATCCTATCAAATAGGGGCTTAATGTGGTGACCAATTAACAAATCAAGATTTTATACTAAACTAAATTAATATTCGCTTGAAGACTTTTGTGAAGATTTATGGAAGTGGTTAGGAATTTCGATATCACTTAAGTTAATTGACATTGGTCCAATCTAAATTCATTTGGCCCCTTTTTTCGTATGTTTTATCAACCGAATTAATCAATTTTAGCTAATAATTTCTCTCAAGCAAAACTAACATACACCTTTTCTATTATGTAGAAGCTAACATACACCCCACTTCTTCAAGAGGTCACTAGCATCTGGAAACGCATATATTCTCTTCTTTCTATATATATAGCCTGAAGCAATGCCCACAAACATAGTACACCAGTGTTCTTCTGCATTCAGTTCTGATATTTAATTTTCTTGACGTGTTTGAATAAAAAAAAAAAAAGATGGTTGAAAACAAAAACCATAACAAGAATTTGATGTGTCTTCTCTGGGTGGTTCCAAATGTTTTGATGGCGATTTTTATAATTTATGTTTGATTTTAGCTTAATTTTCCTGTGTTCTATACATGTACTTGAATGGGAACTGTGTGGACTGCAAGTTCTCACATATAAACAGCAGTGATTGGTTTTGGAGTTCTATCCTTGCCTTAGGCCACTGCTCAACTGGGATGGTTGGCTGGTCCATCTCTGATGATCTTGTTCGTAGTTTTGACTCTACCCAAATAGCATTTTGTTACTGATCGGGAGATCCCAATACCGGAACAAGAAACTATTCCTTCATGGACGTTGTCAAAGCCAATCTAGGTAATCTCTCGAATGCAGGCAGCCCTAATATTACTGTTATATTTCATTCTTATCTTCTTGTGATAATTGGAATTTTCAGGTGGATTTCTGGAGCAATTCAGTACTTGAATAATGACCCGGGGGAGGGGGAAGAGGGAGAGTATAGAATGGATAAAAAAAAAAAAAAAGTCTATTAGAAGTCTGTTAATATAATTTACATTCAATCAATCTATAAATCGTGATGTACAAAGGACATTATTCAATTTGTATTTGCAGATAATAGAAGATCATGCATAGTGGTAGATCTAGAATTTTGAATGAGCACGGACGAACGTTAACAGTTAACCGTCGGCCGTAATAAAATATTAAAAATTAAATACAATAATTATTTTTTTTTAAATTGAACACGGGAAGTAACTGAAAAACAATACCTCTTTATTTACTCAGTGGCGTTGGGAGTTCCTGCTACTCTGGTGAGACTGTGTGACCTAAAAAATGAGGGCGTTACTTTCTCCCTCGTTTTACCTCTGGCTTGAGATTCAGTATATGCTGTTAGGAAAAATAAGGATGAAAGTCAAATGGCCAAAGTGTTCTCTGTCATACGTATGCCACTTGCCCACGTAACTTTCTCCACTATTCCCACTTTCTGAGTGGGGGGCTTTCAACTTTCCGCCGTTGGTTGTGCCTGTGATAGCTGTTACATGAACCTTATCAATCCATCAATGATTTTATGACTAAGTGATGGAATAGCCGCGTAAGTAACTTCATGCGGGTCGACCGGTCGACTACCTCACATAGAAGTAGAGTGCTCATGAGGGTCGACGGTCTCATGTGGAGGTAAAGCGCTCATGGGGATCGACGGCCTCGCATCAGCGTGTAATGTCTTACCTTGCTCGTCATCGTAGGCGGCTGTCTACGCCATCTGATATCAATATGCATTGACAATATTCATCGAATGAGAGGTTGGTTAGGTTTTCTATAATTCAAAGAAAGAAGCATGGGTTCAAATTCTATCGATTACATTAAAACCACTAAAACAAAAGTATATATAATTCTCCTAGATTTAGTGACAAAAATCATGAAGTGCTATTATGGTTAAGCTTTGAATAACCTTGAGGAGAGTTACATGTTCGAATCTTCTTCCTATTGAGTTAGTTTTGGTAATAATTGAAGAACTATAAAAATTGCACAACAAAAATGGTTAGGAAAAAATTTGATTCCAGGACATCCAAATTGTAAGTGAACACTCTAGCAAACTGAGTTACATGAGATGTCAGGAAGTACATTGAGTTATTAAATATATAATAAAACTTTTATCTAGTGTCACTCAAAAAATATTTGTTCAAGATGAATATAGCATGCTCGGCCGTCGGTGCTCGTCGGGTGCTGAATTCACCATTGATCACACATACACATCGAGTTTGGGATTTTTAGTTGTCCAATAAAGGATTCTCTCTCTCTCTCTCTCTCTCTCTCTCTCTCTCTCTATGCAACTAAGAAGTATGCAGCTAATCAAGCATGATGCCTACTTTTGAACCTTCCCTCAATTTGATACCTAATTAGGTTGATATAACTTTGCATTTCTCCATCGTTCTTGTAGAAAAAACCATGATCGATCGGCATGTTTAGCCAACTTTTTTAGATAATTTGTTCACTGTACAATTTATTCATGTCTATTACTGGGTCGTAAAGATAGCCCTTATTTGGGCTCAATTTCAGTTAGATTTTAGGAAATTTATATTTTGAAATAATAATTTTTTGAAAAATATGTGATTAAAAAAAATTTGTTTGGTTTAAGTATAATATTATTTTATTGGAGAATGTGTGATTGATAAGAAGAGAGTAAAGTGAATTAAAATTTGTCCAAAAGGGGGCATAATCTCTAAATGCTCTTTAATTGGTCACTCTTAAACAGTGATGATCCAGGATTATTAATATTTAATTATATAATATTAAAAAATTCTTTTTGATCTGCCATTGATTTAGAATTCTTTGGGAAATAATAGATTATAGCTGTAAGTAAACATTAAAAAAAGACGAGTATACTAGATAATAAGTATATTGAGAAAAAATATTCTTATTGTAATTAAGCATAAGGATAATAGTCCATGTGCCTAGGACACTCCAAATGCACGTATATATCCAATTTTTATCTATTTTAAGTCTTCTTCTGCTTCCTTCAACTCTTTTAACATAAATTTTCTTTCCTTTTTTGCACTGAAAATAAAATCAGATTCCTCTTTAATTCGTACGGCTCTGAGGTTTGTCCTCTAAATTATAACGATGATCTGTTGAATTTATGATATTATTGGATTGTACTGATATAGTTCCTTCTTTCAGATATGCAGAGGATCTGGCAGATCTTGATTCAGAAAAACGCAAGCATTGGAACCATTTTCCTTGAGGTAATCTACTTTAATTCTCATATCAGCCGCCGTTGGTCATTGGGGGCTGGCTCTACCGGTGCTTTTGAAGAAGTATAGAAAAAAATAATAATAATAAATATGGCATCGTTAATACTCCACCAACAACTTGTCTGATTTTATACTACTACCTTCCAAATCCAAATCGACCACATATGTAGTATATATAAGGGTTAGACATGGCCCGACTCAGTTCGACTTGATTCTAAAGATAATAGAATCGAATCAGAATTTTTGAAAATTTTATAAGTGGAATTGTCTCGTCCAGATTTAGTTATGGAACTGAACTAGTCAGTACCATAATTAATTTTTTTTTAACACTTACAGCAACACTGCATTAACCCATGATGACACAATCAATCTTAACTCTTACAAAATAAATTTGTTGAATAAAATTATTGAGAAAAAATTAGGTCACTCAACTTTTGATTATTTGAAATTTCAATTGCAGAATTGGACTTTGCTTAAAAACGAAAGTGGTTGTAGAAATAAAGAATTACATATTAACAAATTTTAAGTTAAATACGTTTTACTTTTCTAGCCTAAAACGAAAGTGGTTGTAGCTCAAATTGTGGGGCATTTGTTTTGCATATTAGAGGCACCCGGTTTGATTCATCTCAAGTCCGCTTATTTCAATATAATGATTAATTATTAAATAAATCTATATACTCAAATGATTACTTGATAATATATATTTTGTTATTAGATTTTATCAATTTATTTTGCAAAATTCAAATTTAGACAATTTAAGACTGATTCATATTCTTTTAAGAGTTCGAAAAAGACTTTTCTTTTTTGAGGTTTAAAATAGCTCTAAAATTCACTGTTTCAAAAATTTCACATAGGCTTCACTTAAGTTCGTAAAAATTTGAAACTTAATCATACGTATATGATTCAAAAAATGTATTTTTATTCCTTATTATTTTGGATTGTATTGGATTATATTTTCATTTGTATATGATTTTTACATTTTATTGCAATTATATATCGATTGAAGATTCTTTTAATATAAATTAATTAAATATTAATAAACAGTCTTGCAATATTGGACGATTGCTGGATGGAGCTCGACGATCTGCCCTAACTCACTCGAGCAACTGGATTCATCCCTAGCGGAGATTGCTTTTGACGGTGGCCAAAAAAAAGGTCGCTTGTCTTTACTTCCCCCATTTGTTTTGTGTTTTCGATTTTCTAGTTAATGATAATTATGTGAACATAGAAATTTCTATGATATTTTCTTTTTGTAATGGAAGTTTTAAAAGATGGGTATTTTGATGATGATGATGATGAAGATGATGGTGATGATGATGGTCGTTTCACAAGGATTGGCATTATTTTCTTTTCATTTATTTTTACAATATTTTTATAATTTTGGTTTAATTTTAACCAATTTTTTCTGTGTTCTGTACATGTATTTGAATAGGAACCATGTGGACTGCAAGTGCTCACAAAATAACAGCAGTGATTGGTATTGGATTCTCTTCCTTGCCTTGGGCCATTGCTCAACTGGGATGGATAGCTAGTCCATCTGTGATGATCTTGTTCGCATTTTTGCCTTACTGATCTTCTAGCATCATGTTACCAGTCGGACGATCCCAATACCGGAAAAAGAAACTGTACTTACATGGATGCTGTCAAAACCAACCGAGGTAATTTTCTGTTCAACTGTAGTTAATCTCTCGAGTGCAGACGGCCCTAATAGGGTAATAGTACTTTTATATTTCATACTTATCTTCTTGCGATACTTGGAATATTCAAGTTGATTTCAGTACTTGAATCTTTTTTGAGTTGCCAATGGCTATAACCATTGCTTCCTCAATTTTGCTTGGTAATGTAAAGATGGGCGGGTTGAACCTTCCATGACCCATTACGTTAAAGGATCGGTCCATTACGTTCCCATGCAGGGCCAAGATTGGCCGGCAAAAATTTTGTCAAACCCAAAATCGATCCGCTGCCCTGAATAGCCTTCGCTGATGGCCTTTTTATCCCAAAGCCTTAATTCCACCCCAAATTATTAATTCATGTTAGAAAGCTGAGATCATTAAGTAGAAAGCTGGGATCATTATCTACTTGTCAATTTTGATATATTTAGGATTCGTTTTCTGGTAAAATGGCCTCTTAATGTCTGCTTATTGATTATTAACATAATGTAATCAAAAAGATGAGGGGAAAAAAGTATGCATCTTATTAGAGCTTAAAACATAACCTTGAATACAAGATTTTAGCGTTTATTCGTCTTTAACACTTCAGCACTCCACAGTCGATCATTTAAACGAACAAGAAAATAGTACAAGACACCCTTTCGAGACCAGAAATTATCTGTGTGTAATAACCTTCCATTCCTCGCTTTGGGAACCAAACACGAGAGGATGTCCCGTGATTGTCCATCTACAATGGTAATTAATTATGCTTCAAAAAAAAAAAAAAAATTGCCCCCAGGGCACATCTCCAAGTGGTAAAAGGGGAGGGTGGAGAAATCCAGCTTTGCTTGAGGCTGCTGTGTCAAGGGTTCGAATCCTAAAATATAGATTTGGCTCTTGAGTAAGTGCAAGTGTACAAGCAGCCTTCCACCCTGTACCCTTGGAGGCATAATCTGCAATTTACCTCCCTCACGATACTTCAGGGCAGGAACAGTGGAGGACCCTCAAAATTGGGGTTCAACCTTTTAATTATGCTTCAAAACATGCAAGCTAGTGATAGCAGCAATTTTGGACAACTTGATTTGACCGAAGATTGATAGGTGTCAATTGCTTATAGATGATACTCATCTACTTGCGTTATTGAGAAGCTTAATTATTATTATCGAAGGAACCCTATTCTCTCTGGTAAACGATGGATGAGAAGGCTTCATATTATTTTGATTCAAAGATTCTCTAAATGAATGGCTACAATAAAAGACTTAATGAGCAAGGTGGTGAAAGAAATTCAAATTTCAAAGATTCTTCCCTCTGTATTTCCTCTCTATATATACACAATAAAAAAAATTCTTCCTCTCTATATATTCCTTTGATTTTCTTATTAAACATCAAAGGAACCCAATTCCGTTTTTCGTGCCCATTCATATTATTTTAATCAATGGTTCTCTTTAATCAAAGTCTCACCTTTGAATTGATGGATAGTGGCGATTTTAGACATTTTCACGCGTAAAGATTTTTGTGAAGCACTCACACAAGAAGAGCACCAGTCAACAAAAAGTACTAGCAACGCAAACCAAAATTCCACCCATTTTTCCCCCATAAATCTAGCTTCTATCAAAATCCATGTCAGTAGAAACTAATATTTAGATTTTAATCTAAATTAAAGTCGATAAATAATTTAAATTGCACATTTTATAGTGATCAATAACACAGAGGATTAAGTATCTAACTCACAATAATACTCCCAATAGCCATTGTTGATGGCCAAGATATAACTGTAATATTTACGCTTGTAACTTTTCACCAAGCAGGCTGTGACACCATTCTGATTGTGTTTTAATTTTTTAATGAAAACGATTCATCTTAGCCCTTGTTTGGAACAATTAAAATGATGATGATTATTATTATTATTACTTTTTTTTTGGGAAATGAGCCTTGAAATAGTGATTTTTTGATGAATGTATGGTTAAAAAGTAGGAAAATTTCGAATTTATGTGCATAATATTTTATTTTGAGAATGTGTAATTGAAAATGAATTTAAGAAATAAAAAGTTTCGTTTTAACGATTGTTAAACAAGAGCTTAATATCTATATAGTAAAGGGTTTTGTGTGTTATGTAGAGATACAATAGATAATGCTTTTGAAATTACTTATCTATTACTTTTTCTAGTTTCAAACATGCCACACTCATATGTTAAGCTCGATCTTCAACAAGCAGAGTTCATAAACTCTCGTTGAAATTATTATAGTTTGATATTTAAACCTAAGGTTTTTAGGATTACATAGAGAGTAGTGATCTAGTCAAAACACGTTCAATCATGACGGATATATTCTACCCTTCACACGTTCAATCATGACGTATGTGTCTATAAGCTAACATGGATTTTGATGGTTGTACAGCCGAGCTCTGACAGCCTCGTCACAAGGGTGTGGGGCACGTGCCCAATAAAAAATTTGCGAGCCCCCGAACTGAGAGAGATGCTGTGAAAGGTGCTGTGTGCACAGCACCGTCCAAGCTAACATACACCCCACTTCTTCAAGAGGTGACTAGCATCTGGAAACGCATATACTCTCGCCCTGTTTATATAGCCTGAAGCAATATAAACATGAAGCGATGCCCACAAACATAGTGCGCAATTCCCACAAACATAGTACACTCGTATTCTTCTGCATTTAGTTCTGCTATTTAATTTTCTTGACGTGTTGAATCAAAGAAAAGATGGTTGGAAACAGAAACCATAACCAAGAATTTGATGTGTCTCCTCAGGGTGGTTCCAAATGTTTTGATTAATTTCTTTTCATCTATTTTTTATAATTTTCGTTTGATTTTAGCTTAATTTTCCTGTGCTCTTTACATGTACTTGAATAGGAACTATGTGGACTGTAAGTGCTCACATAATAACAGCAGTGATTGGTTTTGGAGTTCTGTCCTTGCCCTGGGCTACTGCTCAACTGGGATGGGTAGCAGGTCCATCTCTGATGATCTTGTTCGCAGTTTTGACTTGCTACACCTCTACTCTGCTAGCATCATGTTACCCGTCGGGGAATCCCAATGGCGGACCAAGAAACTATTCTTACATGGATGCTATCAAAGAAAACCTAGGTAGTCTCTCAGGTACAGACGGCCCTAATACTACTGTTATATTTCATACTTATCTTCTTGCTATACTTGGAATTTTCAGGTGGATTTCAGGTGACAATTTGTGGAGCAATTCAGTACTTGAATCTTTTTGGAGTTGCCATTGGTTATACCATTGCTTCCTCTATAAGCATGATGTAAGTATGAGCACAAGTAAAACTCTGTTTTGCTGTTCAAAATCATTCTTGGAAATTTTACTGATTCATGAACATTAACGAATAGGGCAATCAAGAAATCCAATTGCTTCCGTTCAGAAGGAGATGATAGTTCTTGCAGAATTTCTGCCAATCCTTATATGATAGGATTTGGTTGTTCTCAAATAATTCTCTCTCAACTAATCCTCCATTTCCATCAAATATGGCGGCTTTCAATTGTTTCTGCAGTCATGTCTTTTATTTACTCAATCATTGGATTAGGCCTTGGAATTGCCAAAATTGTAGGTAGGGATATGAACCCCCTCTACATTTTCCATTTATCTTCTGCTTTAAAGGCATTAGACTTAATTAACGAGTGTTGTAACTTCTATTTTCGCTCCAATTTTTGCTATAGAAAATGGGAAAGTTAAGGGAAGTCTCACTGGAATTAGCCCTGACATTGTCACTCCAATGGAAAAAGTATGGAAGAGCTTGCAAGCACTTGGGGATATAGCTTTCGCCTATTCTTTTTCTCTCATCCTTATTGACGTACAGGTATGCAAAATTGGACTATGTAACAGTCAATATTTTAACTTTACACTATCCAATTTTGAAGAGTCGACCTTGGGACTCGAGCCTATTTTGATTCTTTTAATGTTTTAATTTCAGAATACAATAAAATCCCCACCATCGAAATACAAGACAATGAAGAAAGCAACTCTATTAAGTTTGGGAGTAACAACAATTTTCTACATGGTCTGTGGCCTTCTTAGTTATGCAGCATTTGGAGATCTCTCACCACGAAATCTCCTCACTGGTTTTAGCCTCTACGACCCATACTGGGTTCTCGACATAGCCAATGCTGCCATTGTTATCCACCTTGTCGGTGCTTACCAAGTTAATTGCCAACCCATTTTCGCCTTTGTTGAAAAAACTGCATTAGATAGGTTCCCGCATAGCCAATTCATCAAAACAGAGATCCCAGTCCCTATCCCGGGATACGGGCCTTTCAAACGCACTCCTTTCCAACTCGTGTGGAGAACAATTTTCGTGATCATCACAACGATTCTTTCAATACTCATGCCATTCTTCAATGATCACATCATTCGAATTCTAGGTGCGTTGGGATTCTGGCCTCTTACCATATATTTCCCAGTTAAAATGTATATTGTCCAAAAGAAGATCCAAAGACACCGTGCTAAATGGCTCAGCCTACAAATTCTAAGTGTTGCTTGCCTGCTGTTCTCTATTGCAGCTGCTGCTGGATCCATTGCTGGAATTGTTTATGATCTTGAAGTGTATAAGCCTATTGGGAATATGGCCTAATTTGATCACTTTCACATTATACTAGTCATTTGTCCGTGCAATGCACTATGTTATTTTTAAGGTAATGTTAGCGTATAAATTTCACAAAGAAATCATTCTATGGGGAAGAAAGTATCTTTGTCTACGTGCTGCATAATTATGAAAGTAGAACAAAGTAGAAAGGTACAAGTTTGTTGTTGTAAAACACCTAATGAATCTGCAATTTTCTATTCTCGCAAACAATAAGGTATAAAATGAGTCGTGCCTAACATCAAAGCCAAATATTGTGATGGCCCTCCGGGCCTCATCAAATTTTTTGACATTATATCAATGTTTATATTTTCTTCATAAGGGAGTGAAATCGAATTAAAAGTGGAAAAGTAAAAAGTATATGAGACCAATGTAAATAAGTCTCACAGAAGTATGACATAAAAATTGAAAAATAAATAAGACACCTCATATGTTCATTTAATTCTTACCATTGCAGTCGCACAAATGAGGTTATATCTATATATTAATAAGGCCCATTAGCATCTAATAACCACAAAATTTAACCATCCATATTCAAACTTCTCAGAAGTATCTAACAAAAAGCCCCAAGAGAGTTCTTGAAGGAAGCAGTTCCTCCAAGGCAACAATTTCAACTCAATACCTTTTACTTTTGGATTCACTTTTGGAAAGCATCATTCCCGAAAGTTTGTTGATCTCATATAATAGCCCAGCAGAAAACAGAAAGCTGCATTGGTATCCAAAAAGCACTTAATCAGAGTGAAAAAAAAAAATTCCACAGCAAATAATTTGTTATAGCATTTAAGTTTCTCCATCAGTATTTTTCAAGGCAATAATAACATAATAGACTATGACTTGAGACGGTTGTAAGAATTTTAGCTTATTACATAAAATCAAAATTCATGGTCAATCCCAAGATGCCAGTGAAGCAGTTTGTTACATATATCAATATCTCATGGCCAGTTGCTAGACCAATAGTTAGGCTGCTCCCTGGAATATGAGAGATCGTTCCCTTCAGAGAAGTGGAAGGGATTGGAATTCCATATTCATTAGTGCAGGACAAAGATGCATACATGACTCTTCTCTAACTACAAACTTGACTGCACAACTCTACCCTAATTTTTGGTAAGCCTTCTTCTATTCAAAGTCTTTTAGAGGTAGGGGCTTGGACAGCAGATAAAAGCACATCACATAGAGTTGAATATGATTTTATTCGTGTAGGTTTAGCTTGAACATATATCTAAAGAACCTAGTAGTCAACAAAAGTCTGAGCTCAGGGATACTTTCGATTTAACCAAAATGGAGATCAACCAGTAAGGACTCCTTTGGCCACACTTCTTATACTTTCTACTGTTCATGTGAAACTACAAGGAACCAGTTCAGTTGAAAATGTATTCTATAACGCCTCCTACTTTATGAACTAAAATTGGACTTCTTATTCAAAATATAAAAATACAATGACGATCAAGTAAAGATCAGAAGCATGATTGCATTACCAGGTTGTGATACAAACTCGATGAACAGTGCTAGCAGCTATAAGCGCCACTGCTTCTGCAAATATAACTGCATCACAAAAAGATGATCATAAGTTTACTGAATAATTCTCACATACCAATTCATTAATTTAATCTTGCTAAAAGAAACCCACTATTACTCTTATTTAATAGAACAATCTTGCAGTTTTTAGCCAGATTTAGCCCCCGTTTGTCCTCCATTATTTGAGATTATAATTTTTGGAATAGCATTTCTTTGAAGAATATGCGGTTAAAAAAGAAGAAAAAGTCTTGAATTTATGATAGACTCCTATCAATGTGGAAGGACCTAGAAGAATTGAGAAGCTTATTCAGTTAGAATAGATTTAATTAAGGGCAGGGGTATTTTGGGGAATAATGGTGTGATATGTTGCCTATAAATGTAATGGGGAGGGATTGGGGAGAGGCGTGCAGAAAATTAGTTGTTGAGATAGGGGGAGAGATCTAAGCCTCTCGAATGCTTAGAATTGTTCCTTTACATTCAATGAAATACTAATACAATCTTCAGCTAGAATTGTTCTTGCTTTACACTTAGTCTTTACAACACCTATTTCCTAACCGATCAATTAACCAGCAGCCTCACAGGACCATAACAGCAGCATAGCAGCAACTCAAGGTCCTATCAATTTACTTGTAATATTATTTTATTGGAGAATGTGTTATTGATAAGAAGAGAGAAAAATGAATTATTATTTTAATGGGGGCAAAACGGAGTTTATGCACGTGAACCCTCCATTGTTTACTTTCAGCAAACTTTTGGTTGCATTCAAGCTAAGCACATGGCTAAAGACGCAATGTCATATACACAAGCTGACGCCATAGTTCCAGAGAGAAATGAGAAACAAAGAGTAGTTTCTAATGAAAAATTCAGGGAAAGAGAGAAATCAAAGTTGTAATTTATGTAATCACCCTCATTAGTTTGATAAGCTAGAGCTTGTCTTTGGTTACAATAAATGGCATCATTTTTCCTCTTTGCCCCCTCAACCCATGTCCAACGTCAGAGAGGTCATCCCACACTTGGTTTCAGAGGGAGTTTTCAGTAATAACAGATGGAACTAGAAGGAAATTTATAACCACGTCCTGGAATGAATCTCAGATTTCTGATTCAGTATTTCAGTAACAGTCAATTCAGTATACAGTTCCTGGTTACAATGAAAACAAAAGAAGAAAAAGGCATCAATGTATAGATTAAAATTCTTTCATCCATTTCCCTTTTCATATTGACCAAAAGAATGCCAAAGAATATAGATGCAGCTCTGGCCTCCCCCAACCACTTCACTATTCACTAGGAGACGAAAAATGTAAAGAGACCCCTTGTTTACTTCGATGCTCCAGATTCATTCCGTCCATATAAGCGTAAGTCATAAATTCCAAGTTCTAACTTAGGAGATTATTCTCCAAAATCTGGGCTAAATAAATGACCAAAGATAGAGCAAGATCAGATATCACAAGGCTCGTGTTCTGAATACTGGCAATAGATATTGTGAAGCTCGCAAAGTTAAGAGACATGTCCATTTATAATTGCAATGCATTGAACGGAAAGAGATAGAGAAGAACATTCAGATAATCGAGGAGCTTATAATGGACAGAAGGAAAAGGCGAAAAAATCTGAAAGATACTTGATAAACTTTTTAAGCTTCCATTTTAAGTAAACAACGCAAAGAATTAGATAGAAAACAAGATGGCACTTACCAGCACCCCAACCAGTCCTGGTACCACATGTTTCCTGATAATTTCCAATGAACTGGAGACAGAACACACAAGTCAGACGTAAATACCTTCTTTATCTCCCTACACATATCAGTCTTGCAAATGAAATATGTATAGTGACCACATATGAGAACAGTTTATAAGACATGTGCCATACCTTCTAGGTATTCACATTGATAAAGTAGAGAAGATAATTGTGGAGATGCAGAAAAATGTTGAAGCTTACAACCATTGTTCATCGCAACAAAATCTTTCACATAATAACATGCCTAGTGGAAAGTTTATCACATGAACAATTCTACCAATATGTTCATTCTTACAGAAGCACCTAATTATGATTTTTCAGTGCAAAAGTGGTTTCTTAATAATTTTTATAGTACATAGTTAAACATCTTTCACAGAAAAATACACATATTAGCATGTCAATAAGCATTATAATTTTTTTCACGAACAAATACACATATTAGCATGTCAATGTGCATATTTGTGTAATGCCAAATATCCTGATTTTAGATATGCATAATACATACATATGCACACAGACAGAAGCAGAAGCAAAAGCAAACACTTAATGGTTAGCTAGAAGAGATAAAAATGTCCGGTTTTGAATTTCAGAGAGTCATGTTGAAATCTTTTCCATTTTTCCTTTTTAGTAAATGAGGTGAACCAAAGCCAAAGTTTTGACAAGGGTGGCTAGACATGATCCCCGACTTCTGGGCAAATTTTCTTTCTTTCTTTCTTTTTTTTTTTTTTTTTTTTTTTTTTTTTTTTTCCAAAAAAAAACAAAACTTTTTTTTTTTTTCTCAGGGTCATTATGGAATGACAAATGAAGTCGAAATATTGCATTTTTAATACCATTTCGAAGTATTCACGACCTAGTTCCACGTTGTTAATGGCATGCAAAACAGTCAATCTTAGCAAATCTTAAGGGTTGTCAAAATAGGTCATTTCAAACTAGTATTTCAAGAGTTTCAATAACATGATAACTTTAAAAATTCTTCGACAACCGTACGGCAGCTGAATCCACAAATCGCTTAAGTCATCTCGAAGTTTGTCTTAAGAATTGCATTATAGACATATCGAATGGTTCAAATGGATATCGAAAATAATTAAAGATACGCCAAACGTGCATCTTAAGAAAAGACGTCTAACTCATCTTTTCTTTAAAATTTTACAATTATTTCATTAATGTTTATTCTTTTTGCATGACAATTTTTTCAATATAATTTACATTGTTTTATTAGGAAATTTTACATGAGGTATGACGTCAAAATTTTTTGATATTTTTACATCCAAAAAAGCCATATACCATGTAAATTTAAGGAAGTAAAATTCAGATACATGGATGTGACTTTTTTGTATGTAAATTTTTGAATGAGCCTCACAACCTTTTTACAAGTTTAATTATGTCCCCTAACTCAAAATGTCTACGTTCATCACTGTTTAGTTTCACCCACCACAAACTTCTACAAAACACCTAGAGCAATAGAAGGCACATCTTTCGTCCTCGCAGCCAGACAAATGTATCTTTAGTTCATGAACTTATCATTGTAATGTGTGGTGTATTTCCCATCATTATAAAGGAAAAATAAAAACAAAAAATTAAAGGAAAAATCTTGACATTCATAAATCATTGAGCAGGTTCCAAAAAATTCATGTTAACAAGTACCAGAGAAACAAATTCTAAGGACTCAGAGATCTGAGAGAGGGTGAGACAGGAGCAGGATAAATATGTAGCAATAATAAATATGATCACTCATCACATTATCTACAATTTAGAGCACATAGCAAAAAATTGCTCGTACATCTGCATGGAAATGAAGGGTATTAAAAGGATAGTTTCTCTCACCGTCAGCAACATTAGAAATATTAAAGAGCTGGTAAAGCCTCCAAGAATAGTAAATAACTCTGAAGATGCTAACTTCACTCTATACATTTCTTGTAGAGAGAGAGTGGCAACGAACAGAAGAAAAGAATATAGCATAGAACTCCCAGGTGCAGCCATGAGACTTGATGTCAAAAATGAGGAAAATGAAAAAGTTAAAATCTGTTAGGTCACTTGCCACAGAATGAGAGAAAAATGCGTAGCGATAATTGGATCACGTGTTCAAATTCTTTTTGAACATTAATAATCAGAAATGCAAACTTGCTTGCCAAATCTAACCCTTGTTTGGGCTCCATTAAACCAAAAATACTTTTTAAAACTCATTTTCAACCTCACATTCTTCAATAAAATAATATTACACATAAATTCAAAACTTTTCCTCACATTTTAACCCCATATTCTCCAAAAAAAATTACTATGCCAAAATACATTTTTCCCAAAACCTTATTAAAATGGAGCCCAAACAAGGGCCTAGAGAAAAGCATTTTAATTGGGCCCAAATTATTTTCATGTACAACTGAATAATTTCATTACTTTCTTTACGAAACACACGTGTTAAAGTGAAGTACAAGGGCGTTGATTTTCAGTAAACCAACAATGCAAGATGGCTACAAGAGCTTTCAGGCAGGTAATTTGCATCGTTCCAGTGTTAAATCAATAAGCAAATCAAATCTCAACTCTCAAGACTACAAAACTATGTCAAATAGCAAAAGCATACCTAACACATGTACCCATAATATATTTGACGCAGGGAAACCAGATAGTCTATTATAACTTTATACGAGTCTTTTAGTATATTGACGGAGTTAATTCCAAACAAACAAACTTACTTTTTCATAACTATTCTACTGTCAATGGAATCGTAGTAAATAAACAGAAAATGAATCTCATTGTGTGATTTTGATTCCAAGAACTTGAGAAAGAAGATACTCATCCATGTTCAGCAACAGTCAATTTAAAACTGGCAACTTTTTTATTTCTATGGAGGTTGCGTCCTACATTACCCCCAAGTATAAAAGGTAACGTCCAGGTGCTTTCACTAACTAACCCTGTGTTTACAGTGCTCACTAGAAATCTTACAAGTTTAGAGAGCTTTACTTCTCCTTTAGTGTGGAAGTCGGTGAACCCTAAAACTGCACATCTTTGGAAGATAGACAACATAACAATTAATCTACAACCCACCAAACATTTCGTATTATAAAAGCAGCTCCAATTGCACGAAAAGAAAATAGTCATAAATGCAATTTCAAATAAATCAGATCCAGAATTTGCTCGAATGTCTGAAAAGATAACACTACAAAATTATCCTAAATTTATTTATTTATTTTTTAATTTTTTTTGCATCAATTTCCTAAAAACTCAGCTCAAAGTTCAGATCCATCAAAGAAAAAAGCTAAATCAAAATCCACCAAATGCTCGAACAGCGCATAGGAGTAAAAAGTACGCGTAGAGAAAGAGATTAGACTCACCAAAAAGAACTTGATTTAATGTGGACGGAATTGGAATTTTGAAAGAAGATGCAGAGAGGGAGACCCTGGGCGTTGAACTGGGTACTGACTTCTCGGCTACATTACTTTCACGAATTTGGCAAAAAAATAAATACCGAGGAAATTGCAACAAAGGTAGACAACTAATTATATTTGTGCAAATAGGCCCTTCACTTTTTTTTAATATTATTTTAATTTAAATAATTTTTGCGTAAGCCAAAAATATTTAATTTACCTCGTACTTTTGTTTATTGAAAATGAAGATAAGCTGATCTCCTAATTCTCTTATTCCGTATAATTTGCTAAGACTGCTATAGACTTCCACCGCCGACCACCATGGACTTGGTGGAACCACTAGCATGCCCAGTTTGTCTGCAGCCATACGCTGCTAATTTCGTCGTCCCATCTGTCCTTCCTTCTGGGTACTCCACCTACGAATCCTGTTGACTTGTTCAAAAACAATAAATAATGTGTGTGGAATAAAATCAAAACGAAGGCTCAAAGATTGGGCCTTACGACCGCACGCCATTTGGGTCATGCGTTCGCATGGCCATCATCAGAAAACCAAGGCTGGTTTTTGGTATAAACCATGAGGTCGCATGGTACTTCAGTTTCGACCGTTGGAGGCCCTTTTTGAACGTTGCAAATTTGATTTTAGTGGTGTTTCTTGAACTTTTTGGCATCATTTTGTGTATATGGTCAAGACTTATATATAGAGGAGCCATGTTCAAGGAAAATACAATTGAAAAACACTTGAGATTCATTCCTTATTCCACAATCAAAGATCAAACCCTGATTTTCATTCATATTTATTTCTCTAATTATGTTCACCAAGTTTTGGAAAATTTCACTTTGTGCTTTAGTGAAATTTTTTATGGGGTTTGTTATAATCTTTCAAACCATTTGTCGAAATACCCTTGAACTTCTCATTCAATCCTGAGAGAGGACACGTTTAAGCTTGTACATTAATTTTCTTCCTTTGACATTCATTTTTCTAGTTTTTTCGTCTTTGTTCCTTCTCCAAACCCCTTTGTTTCCAACAAAGCCTATCTCGAGCAGCTTCCCAACCTCTTATCTCTCACTGTCTGCTGCCCAGTCTGAACTATCCTCTCGAAAATTTCAAACAGCCTATCCTCCTCCTCCAAGAACATCAACCTTCTTCACCTTTCACGCCTCCTCCAAGAACTCCCAGTGAAGCCCAGAACGGTAATTTCATGATCACTTGCACCGAGTGACAATGTCTCATTCCCGTTTCAGTTTTGTTAGAAATTCGTGGTCTTATTAATTTTGCTCCAAATGGAAAAAATGGATTATCCTGGAAAGACACTATTTTAGTTGAAAAATCAAGTTCAGAAAGTTGCGACGAAATATTTGATGGTAAAATTTTGGTGTCCTTTTGATAATTTCATTACAATTTTTTTAATACACTAGTGAGACGCACATGCTATAGTATAGTTGGCTACTTAGTAGCACAGATATAATTTTAAAAAAAAAATTATTTGCATTAAACATTAGTTACATAAGATTTAAGCCCTGAATACACGAAGGATTGGAATTCCTTCATGCATTGTAACACTCCTCTTCATTGGAACACTTGTCTTCATTAGAAACGCAGCTCCAACTCCATCACTCATTTGGGTAAAATTTCCTTAACATACAATATAGAAAAGTTAGTATTTGGAGATTCATAGTTTTTGAATTCAGGAATGCTAGAGAGAGAGAGATAGAGAAATACCTGGACCAATGTCTGATATGAAGAACTTCGTTAACGACCTTGGGAAGATTAAAAAAAAAAAAAAAATTAGGAAACGAAATACAAATAAGAAAACAAATAGCCTTGTATCATTTACAAACAACCATCAAATCTGGGTTCAAAATTAACTTTGGCATCCTAGATAGAAATCAACCGACTAAATAAGAATTAGGAAAGCATTATCCATAATCAATCAAATTTAAAAAAAAAAAAAAAAAAAAAAAAAAAAAAAAAAAAAAAAAAAAAAAAAAAAAAAAAAAAAAATAGCTCATCTTTCCTAGCCATGTCAAATATGCTATGCCATAAAAAATTTAGAAATTATCTAGCTTTGAGCAAGTGAAGTAACAAAAGTAAAGAAATTGACAGACAGAATTGATACCATGAAACTGAAACCCATACTCGAGCTATTTTATAGATGTATACTTTCACATCATTTTCTAATCATAGGAATGCAATGACAAAAATTAAAAACATGAGGTAGCCAGAGAAACAAGAATTGGAAGTGACAACGGCTTCAAAATGAGAATTTACACAAACATTAGAATCCGTTTGTTGCAGTCCAGAAGTTTAATGACCTGCTTGAAGCAAAGCTATTAACTTTTTCCACTTCAGTGTAATAATTAATAGTGCAATTATCATCTCAAAATAATTAAATTAATAAAAGTTCACTAGTAATGTTGACCTTGCAAAGTGGACCCTTCAAATGGCCAACCAATAGTCACTCCATGTAATCCTCACTACGCACAATAACGAACGGTCAGAAGCACACGGTCGAAACCAATGGGGGTGGCGGCGGACGCATACACTTCGACGGTCAAGTCAATGATCGGTGATTGGAACGATGCTCGAATTGTGCAAGAGAGTGGAGAAGAGAATAAATATTTCTTATAGACGAGGAGCACCGTTGGATGTGAAACACGTGTATGCATCTGACGGTGTGAGACGTCTGCTCGTAGGCATCAATCAACTGTGTCTAGAATGGGTGAGTAATTAATTCTCCTGAATTGAGTTGACATAAAGTTGATGTTACATCAACTAGACCCATGAAGATGTCTCATCTATTTATCCATAGGGATAGAGGATCCTGACACACTGAACTGGTGGCGGAGGGATCTATGAAGGGAGCACCTCGGAGTGCCCAACGCTTCGATTTCAGGGGGCACTTCGATCGCTTCAGTATATTCAGTTTGCGATGTATGTGCGCTGTAGTACGTCAAGTTGGAGTTCGGCCGAGATTGACATCGCTTCAAAACCACTTCGTGGGGACATGTGGCACCTCATAGATAAGTGGATCTGATGTGCCAAAGTGGTTTGGTGAGGGGCATAACAGTGGTTCCCCAAGTTCACGCATGAATATTCATATCATGGGTGGACTTGTTTGTCCGATTATGTTTGCTTAAGAGGAGACTTGCAGTATCTGATGAAGTGTTAATGTCAAAGGGTGAAGTGAGTAGGTGTATCTAAGGCTTTGTGGCTGGAGTGTATTATTAAATCGAGTCGATGTGGGTAGGGAGTCCTCTCGGTCGGTAGTTTGTTAATTCGTGAAGAGAAGTTAGCTTTTGCCCAAGGCATGTGAGCCATGATGCTGCATGCGGAAGGAGCTCATCTGTAGCCGCTGCATTGACCCAAAGGGACGATGCGTTGGGAGATGGGTAAAGTTTTGTAAAGCTTGAAAATGCAGCGATCGAAGCGATGACCCACAGGGGATGCCCCGTCAAATGCATCCAAACTGTAAAGCTGATTGAGGAGCTCATTTACCACCGATGCGCTGACCCAAAGGGGATAACACATTGTGAGATGGCTAAAAATTTGTAAAGCTTGGAGATGCAGCGACCGAGGGGATGACCCACAGGGGATGCCGCACCAAGTGCGTCGAGACTGTAAAGCTGATTAAGGAGCTCATCTGCCACCGATGCGCTTCCCCAAAGGGAATGACGAGTTAGGGGATGGCTAAAGTTTTGTAAAGCTTAGAGATGTAGCAATTGAGGCGATGACCCACAAAGGACGCCGCGTCAAGTGAGTCAAGACTGTAAAGCTGATTGAGGATCTCGTCTGCCACTGATGCAATGACCCAAAGGGGACGATGCGTTGGGATATAGCTAAAGCTTTGTAAGCTTGGGGATGCAGTAGCCAAGGTGCCTTAAGAAAGTTGAGGAGCTTGATCTGAAGTGCCTTATTCTGATGTTAATCGATGTAACAGCTACCGCGTATTTCCAATACGCTAATTGGGTGAGATGTCCAATCCCAGAAAAGGCTGCTGCAGCTAATTATTATAGACGGTTGTTGTAATTCGAGGCAACGTGTTTAGGGCTTGTGTGGGAGTCATAATCAGATCTCAGGTGTTGATCAGATCTGACGTTTCATTTTAAATTGGACGGTCGAGATCATGTGAGGCTTCTTATAAAATCCCTTGGTGTCGGCGTTGGAGAGTTTTCAGTTTTGCGAACTCAGAAAAATCCATTGCTTTAAAAATTTCTTGTTATTTTTAGTGAGTATTCTGTAATCTTCAAGCATTTCTCGCGACCTTTGTGTATTCTAGTGACTTTCAGATGGCGTTTTGAGCTTTGTGACATAGGGCATTACCTTCTTCCCATTTTCATAAGTATTTTCCATAGTTTCTCATTTTTCATCTTCTGAAAAAAGTGTTTTCTGAGGGTGGTGGGTCTTCTAGGAGGGATCTAGAGATAGTGAGGGTAGATGATCCCATTTTAGCAATCTTTGCTGAACTATTCGAGGCGATATTAGGGGAGAGAACCTGTGGAAGCGTCCTGACAGCCATGCTGATACTTCAGTCCAATGGGAGTTTTCTGACTACCCTTCGAAACTCAAGCCTACCGACCTCGATAGACTTAGGAAAGAATATAGGATCTCAGATAGTGTGGGTCTGATTTTGCCGGAGTCGGATGAGCCGGCCTGCTACCCTACGCAGGGTGTGTGGCTATTAGTGAGGCCATCCTCAGGGTGGGGCTTAGGTTACCCATTCACCCTTTCTTTAGGTATGTTCTGAGGTCATACAGCCTAGCTCCGACCCAGTTAAACCCAAATGGTGAGGTCGTGGATGTTGTGGAAAGAGGTGTCCTAAGAGGTGGAGATGCCCTTCTCCATCTTCCAAACCTTATACATCCCTGAGGTCGCGGCGAGGGGTGATAAGACAAAGGGGTGGTATTGCTTAACCTCTTGTAGGCCCATACTCCATTCGTAGTGGACCTGTTGAGCTCAATAAAAGACTAGAAAACTTCATTGTACTCGGCTTCCGGACAGTGGGATATGATGGAAGGGGACCCCTTGGCGCCTCTTACAGTCCCAACTAAGTATTC